CTAAGACCCAGGTTATGTTAGCAAAACATTTTAAAGTTTGTTTGTTCTAAAAATACTGTCTTTACACAAATATTTGTTTTCTTTTCTGTCCGTAGGTAGGTTTACTACTTTCTTTCCTGCATTTCCTTTCTATTTGTGCTTCTTTATTATTTACACTCGCTTGGTGAAAACACCATTTCACCTCGGGGCGCGTTACCGGTTTATATAAGAAATGAAAAATGATTTCAACAGCGCGCAACAATATAAAAACTTTTTTACCAGCAAAGGGAAAGTGGCTAATGCTATTATTATTAAGTCATAACTAAACAAATTTATCTTTTGTGCGTTTTGTGAATTTCGGAACTATTTTTAAGGATACCAAAGGTTCGAAGGGTCGCTGGGTCTGTAGGTCGTTTATTTTCGCACATATGTGTGTGCACGTGTGCGAAATCGGGGCCGGAATCGATTAAAACTTTGCAAGGTTACACCGGTTACACCCCGTAACAATGTAGCAATAACTTTGCGAAAGGCTTTCGCCGTTTTTTTTGCTGTTTAACCTCAAATTTGAGCCAATTTATTTTTAGATTAATATATACGTAATAATCTCCTTAAAATATAATAAGAGAAAATCAACTCATAAAAGTTACGAGTGCATGAAACAGAAGGACGACAAAAATAAGTATGATTTATGGCTATTAACCACAAGGGCCACAATTCAACCGCAAAACGCGTTGAATTCGAGTATGCAATCCAAGAACAAACCGAGCGCAATAAAAATTCTCGTCAACGAGCGCGCGCGCACGAAGACCCATCGAGCTTTTATGTACTATGTGCTTGCTTTTTTGTTGCTTCTTCACATCGTATTTACTTTTTAAATAAATTTTATGATGTGGAAGCATTACGTAATTTAATTCCGAAAATAACTTAATATTTCACTCAAAATCAGTGCAAATTCAACAAGTATTATTATAAATTACAGGAAGATTTTAAGCAGGGTACATTTTGAGTTTTTGAAGCGTTCAGCGTTTGAAAGCATGTGATATTCAAGCAATTTGCAAGTCAAACGAGTGAAAGAATAAGAAATAAGGAACGAAAAACGAACCGTCAATCCATCAATCGCATAAAATATTCAAATAATCGTTTACCCACTGTTGAATTATAAATGTTGAAACATTTTTCTGTCCAAAATCATTCCATCGTAATTTAAACGTTTTTCAGGTTATTTGTATGTTTACACTGCCATCTTGCAGGAAAATAAGTTGATTATCGACAGCATTAGGCAACCTTGTCTACATAACCTTGTTTATCGTTTAACTTGCTTAATTAAGACTTGATTCCCGTGTCGAATTATCATATACTGATGAAGATATTTACTTGGCCTGATTTGCAGTGACACAAAGGACTCGGTTCTCCAGGGCGACGCGGTCGAACTGCCAAACTTCGGCAAGTTTGCAACAACTCCTGCGGGAATCATTCATCATCGTAATATCGTAACAGATTGCCGACAAGCGTGGGCAACACATTGCAAATTATCGCAACATACGAAGCGAAACGTATCAAGATTCAAGTAACCAACATCAAGGACATCACACAAGTTTAATTTGAAAGAAAGAAGCGAAACAGAAACGAGATTTGAAAATGTCTCAGTCAAATTACAAATTGATTTATTTCAACGCGCGAGGCCGAGCGGAACACATCCGCTTTATATTCGCCTACGCCGGCGTCGATTATCAGGACGAACGCATCCCAAGGGAGAAGTGGTCAGAGCTGAAGAAACGTACGTAAATTTTGCGCTCTTTTAAACCTTTGGCGATTTTTTCTCGTTCGTAGGCAGAGATTATCTTATTTTTTGTCGTTTTGTCGTTTGGGGAATTCAAGGGGTTGCAAACTTTTGTGATTTACGACTTTTTTAGAAATGCCCTTTGGGATGGTACCCGTGCTGGAGATCGATGGTAAAAAAATAGATCAAAGCAACGCTATCGCACGCCATCTAGCGCAGAAGTTCGGACTCACCGGGAAGGATGAAATGGAAGCGCTGCAGTGTGATGCACTTGTCGACACTCTGGGAGATCTCAAACAAGGTTAGAATAAGTTTTCGTGAAAGCATTTTGTTTTCTTACCATTCATAAAATAAATATTAACCTGCGATACTAGTTTTAGTTATATTTTGTATAAACAATCGAAGTGAATTGAATTGAATTGAAAGCGTCCTGAATTACTGTGTGCAATTAATGTTTTGATTTGATTTTCGTTGAAATTGGCAACGCGAACGAATGTCAAAACCCGAACACAAAGCTCTTGATTGAGGAGATGACACGCTACCGCGTCCGGGGTTGAATGTCGGCCGCCGCGTTTGTATTTGACGTGAAACTAATTAACCGGGCATCCGACACACGCCGCGTGATGTTCTTTTTCCTCACGCCAATCTATCAACCACACTATTTTCACCAACTTCAGTTTTCGTTGTTGTGACATTTTGAAAATTTGCAAGTGATGCACGTTAGCGACGCCATTTTGTGGTCATTTCCTGCATCTTAATAACCCTCGTGTTGATCGTGAACTGTTTGAGTAAACATCTCATCGTCATCTGATCGGATCACGTCTCGTGCGTCTCCTTTGTCCGGCGGCAATAATAGCTCGTCCTTTTCGCAGTGCTCTGGCAGCTGCGGACCGAAACGGATCCAATTAAAAAGGAGGAACGCAAGGCGAAACTAATGAGAGAGACGATCCCTTCTACCTCTCAAGTTTGAGAAGATTGTCGCCGAGAATAATGGCTTCTCCGTCGGCGATTCTGTGAGTGAAAATGGCGACGTTAAACGAATTACCATCAAAAACAATTTAATTTAATTTCATTTATTACAAAATGTTTAATTTGGTTTAGATCACGTGGTGCGATTTTGTATTCGCCGTGTCGTTGGAGAACTTCGAGGCAATTTTTGGTAAATCTTCCCTAGACTACTACCCTGGATTGAAAGCCCTGAAGAACAAGATCTACGCTTTGCCGAGCATAGCCGAATGGGTGACAAAACGCCCACACACCGAATCTTAATTCGCTTCGCGCGCCTGCCAGCGAACAACCCCACCGTAAATCAATAACTAAAAAACAAATGAGAACAAAAACAACAAGACATTCATCACTTCAATCACGTGGAAAGACATTCATATCTACACAACAATCAGCAAAACGAACAATAACTACCATAATTATCAAATGACGAAAGCTTGCGAGAAATTATCAAACACGTTACACGAAACAATCGAGTGAGATTAAAGGTTAAAGATTAACTGCATGATGGACAACTGCCATGCGTAGAAAATAAAACACCGATCAACAAAAAATTGAATTAACTAAGATGGCACCGCTTTAACTTTTGCACAAGGTGCAAACATACGTTAAATAAGAAAGGTAGAATAACAAAATGGCGCAGATCCTGGCGGCCATTTTGTTTTGTCTGCATTTGCATGCATAACACAGTGACACTAGATATTAAATACGTAGATGCATTATAGGTTATGATTTTGGTTTGCGTTTTATATGATAAACAGCTAGAGCCGAATGTTGTGTCTGATTACGAATACTGAATGTTATCAAATCGATGTAATTCAAATGAGTGTTGCGTTGTTTTAATGTTAGCTGCGTTGCATAACGAGATTAGGAACAAATCAAACAAAATTCTTACACACAAACGCTTTATATTTGTTTGTTAGATGAGTTAATGCATAAAAAAACAACAAAAAATCAGAAAATATGTGATGGATTCATCACGGATCAGAGGAGACATTCATGTTGACACTAAAGAATATATCTATCAATGTAATATAAACAGAAAAGACAAAATATATGTGCTGTTATAAATGTAAAACAATGTTGAATGATGTACATAGGAACCAACAAATACATATATAATTTCAAAATGAAACATAACCAAACTTATTTCACCTAGTTTATTTATGCAATCACTTTTAAAGTAAACGATTCCGCTGATGGAGTCACAAAATACAAAATAATTAACATTGGATATTAAATAAGACAAATAATTACTGGATGCAACACACTAGACACACTGTATATGTACAAAAATCAAAACGGTGGCGCGCACGTTGAATACCACAGACGAGAAGCTTTACTAAAAACAAAAAACGCGTGCGACCGCCATTTTGCAATGACCTGGTGGATGTCTCATACAGCAAATGGCCGACCAACCACCGACGAGATCATGGATGATCAAGGATCATGCTCAACGAGCGCAGCAACACAAATTCAGCTAGAAATCCGACTAAATCACACAAATCAACGGCTGATCCTTAGTGAGGTTAAGTTACGCCAATTCACTGTTGGATTCTTTGCAGGAGCGGCGGGATCTAGTCGAGTTTGTTCGTTGGATCATCGAGGATCGAATGGCGCCACGCGTCGAAGCTGAGGTTGAAACTCGAACGGATGTGGTGCGGCGGAAATATTCTCGTGGTTCAACTGCACTAGGTTTACTAAAAGTATATAAGAATAATGTTAAATTTGAAGATTTAGAGTTTAGTTTATTTTACTTACGGTCTAATGCATGGGAAAGATAAGAATTTCTGATCTTTTCCGAATTCTTCACCATCCTGCAGAGTTTGTGGTAGTTCTTGATCCAGAGTTTCAGGTAGAAAGAGTGAAAGCAACCCTCCGATGATTCCAATCAAGCCGAGAATGAACAACGGTAGAGAAGCATCGAATTTTTCCTTGAAAGGAAATAAATTTAATAAATATCGGTTTTGTGTCGAGGTTGTATTCACTTACCAAGTAAACTACGAACGGAGCAACAATGCTGGCAACATAACCCATAATATGGATCAAAGCTACACCTTGTGCCCTTACCACGGTCGGTAATAATTCAGCAGCATATTGCAATCCGATGTTGTAGGAAAGATTAACAGCGAAACGTCCGATAATGGCCATCGATGCAGAAGTAATACCTGTAAAATAATTTTTATTTTAATGTCTCAGAAAGCCATGAGTAATTGTCACAGGTTAATAAATCATTTGTGCAAATGTCAAATTTTTGAATAAAAATGATTTTGTGAATAATATTTACAAATGGAAAGAAATTAAAAGAAAATTATGAAGAAATGTTTACTTGGATGATTCGAGGACAGTCACGTCATCATTTCAGTTGTGGGTGAAGTACAACAATAAATAAATGGCAAATAAACCGTGCAGTCGCAAAAAATGTTCATACTATCCATTTGTTGACTTTCCAACTTATTTAGAGGTGAACAAGAACTATCCTAACTCAAATCTAAACATAAATTTGTTTTGTTTCTTCTTATTTGCTTTAGATCAAAATTTATTTAGGTGAAATATGTCGAACATATCCACATCTAGCCGAAATTGAAATAATTGGAATCACAACACAAATGGCCGAGATATACATGATTAAACTACAGAAAGACGCGTGTAGTTCAAAATCAAAAGCACGCGATATTGTGTTTGTTGATGCTACCATCCATGCACGTGAATGGTTGTCTACATCTACTGCAATGTATCTTATCAACTATATCATCCTTAATCATCATATTTTGGATCATATAAACTATTACATAGTGCCGTGTGTGAACGTAGATGGTTATATATTCTCCATGGAAAATAAATGCGTAAATCACAAGTTTTATGAAAATAAGGTTAAGTTATATTGAGGTTATGTTGTAGTATCGACTATGGCGTAAGAATCGAACGTTGAATTGTTCATCAGATGTCACTTTACAAGGAGTTGACTTAAATCGTAACTTTCCTATTGGATTCTCATGTAAGTTTAGTATGTTTTATTAATAACAACTAATTAATTATCTTTTAGTACCTGGGAGTAGTGACGATCCTGGTTCATTTAACTACCGAGGTGAAGAACCGCTTAGTGAGCCCGCAAGTAAAGCCATGTCATTTGCAATCAACAAATATTGCAAGAAAATTATACTGTACATAAGTTTGCATTGTTACGGCAACGCCATCTTGTATCCATGGTCATTTACCAAAGCACCAATACCCGATTGTCAAGATTTGTTTGAGTGTGCAATGCATGGCAGAAACGCAATTTGTAAACATTCCGAAGGAAAACGTAAAATGCGAGTTGGAAACGCCGCAAAAATTATGAGTACGCTCTTACTAAAAATCACTCAACAATTGAGGTTAAGTCATAACCTCTAAAATTTTATTAACCTCTAATATTTTAGATCTAGCAGCTGGCACCAGCACAGATTACGCCCGTTATGTCCACGGCATAAAATTCTCCTACATTTTCGAATTGCAAGGTTATGGCACTTCCGGTTTTACTCCGCACAAGAAACACATCCCTTCAATTGGTTTTGAAACAACAATGGCGATATTTGCAATGGCGCGTCACGCTCAAGTGTATTACCAACGTAGAAGATGTAAGAAAGTAACTGCGGATATAATAATTGATGAAAACGACGGCGACGATGAAAATGACGATTGTAAACCGTGCCCAAAGAAGAAAAAAAAAACATGTTCGTCATGTCCACCGTCTTCAAAGGAAGCAGTGGAATAAAGTGATGTTTGTGCAATAAATTATTATTTATACATAACCTAACTTTTACTATTTTTACTGTTTACTCACCTAATGGTACTGCAATGGCGAGCCAACTGAAGAATCGAACGTTGAATTGTTCATCAGATGTGACGTTACAAGGAGTTGACTTAAATCGTAATTTTCCTATTGGATTCTCATGTAAGTTACTCAAATACTCATTTTCGTTAATAATTACTAATTAATTATTTTATAGTGCCTGGGAGTAGTGATGATCCTGGTTCATTTAACTACCGAGGTGAAGAACCGCTTAGTGAACCAGCTAGTAAAGCTATGTCGTTTGCAATCAACAAATATTGCAAGAAAATTATACTGTACATAAGTTTACATTGTTACGGCAACGCCATATTGTATCCATGGTCGTTTACCAAAGCACCTATACCCGATTGTCAAGATTTGTTTGAATGTGCAATGCATGGACGAAACGCAATTTGTAAACATTCGGAAGGAAAACGTAAAATGCGAGTTGGAAACGCCGCAAAAATTATGAGTACTTATTTACAACCACTCCACAATTGAGGTTAAGTCATAATCTCCAAATTTTTTAAAAATATTTTAGATTTAGCAGCTGGAACCAGCACAGATTACGCCCGTTATGTCCACGGCATAAAATTCTCCTACATTTTTGAATTGCAAGGTTATGGCACTTCCGGTTTTACTCCGCACAAGAAACACATCCCTTCAATTGGTTTTGAAACAACAATGGCGATATTTGCAATGGCGCGTCACGCTCAAGTGTATTACCAACGTAGAAGATGTAAGAAAGTAACTGCGGATATAATAATTGATGAAAACGACGGCGAAGATGAAAACGACGACTGCAAACCGTGCCCGAAGAAGAAAAAGAAAACATGTTCTTCATGTCCACCGCCTTCTAAAGAAGCAGTGGAATAAAGTGATGTTTGTGCAATAAATTATTATTTATACATAACCTAACTTTTACTATTTTTACTGTTTACTCACCTAATGGTACTGCAATGGCGAGCCAACTGAACACTCCACTTAACACCATTGATCCACATGCTAACCATCTTCTACCCCATTTGTCCAGAGTAAAGGTTAGGAAAGTATCCGCTGGGAATTCAGTGAAAGACGCAATTGAGAAAGTCAAGAAAACATCAAGACCTAAACTTCCAACATTCCTCACATGACCATCAAAAACCAAAGAAATGGCCATCCAGATAAAAATCAGTAAAATAGTAATTCTGCGCAGGCGCGGTGTTTTAAACAGATCCAATACTGAATAAGACCTTTGGGCTGCCTCTTCTTCCTTTTGTGATTTCAAACAACTCGCAGTGAATTGATTGTAGAGCTTTTCGTCAACAGAGCGTTTGTTGATCCTTTCAAATTTACGTAGAATACCAATAGCTTTGTCAATTTTTCCCTGCGAAGCTAACCAACGAGCACTTTCGGGCACTACCCATGGAGTCAACAAAGCGATGAAAAGAGGAGTTGATGTAACAATACACAACAAACGCCAGTCGGAGATCCACAAAGCTATCCACGGCAATACCGTTGACGCAGCGGTGAAAAAGATGGCGATTGACATGTTGGCAACAAACGTCCGCCATTTTGGTCCAACATATTCCAATACTGTAAATAAAATCAATCAAGCAATGATTATTTAATTAATTGCGTAAGTAGCTGAGTTTATAATTTATTGCAGTGAATCACGCGAGATCTGCATGAAAATTCCAGATTAATTCGCGTTATTCTTGTGCGCGTTGATTTATAATGCGAGTGATCACACAAGGTGACGTTGAGAAAAATTGCAGTAATTGTGCGCGTACATCTCGACAGTTTCCAGCAAGATATAGATAATTAAATGCTTATAAAATTAAAACATAAGCATAAAAAGTACTCATTTCACTAAATTAAATATGTACATGTATTTTTTGCATCACATTCAACGCACAACACAAGGTTTCATTCCAAAATATTTGAAACTCGACTGTGTTTAATAATAAATGAATATTGAATGATTCAAAGAGTTTCTTCAAAGTCTCGTTTCGCCGGTGACCTCAGTTTGTCTTTATTAGTTATTACGCTAATGCGTGAGCCTTGATTCGCCGTGTTATTAGTTTTAACTCATTTGTAATTTTGCTAATTAATTATTGTGTATTTACGCTGAACTCTTAATCAATGGAGTTTTTACTGCAATTTCTATTTAATTATTTATTATTCTTACCTAAAATATACATCATGGTAAAACAGTTGTCAAACGCCATTCCAACGAAGAATCTACAGATGCAGAATGCAGTAAATGTTCCGCAGTAAGCAGTGGCGACTCCGGCAACGCCACCGACAAAATTGGTACCCACGAGGGCGGCGACCCGCCCCTGACGGTCAGCGATCCAGCCGAAAACCAAACCGCCTAGGATGGCACCGCAGAAAAACACGGCTTGTGCGATTGTTGGCAGTGAATCGTTATCACAAACCCAATCCAACTAAACAAAAACATTTCAATATTTTAATATGAATATAATACAAGTATCGCCATCTATGAGTTTATATACGTACTTCAGATGCAATAGTTGCATATGGTACATCCGTGTAGTTATATTCCCAGCCATTGCGACATCCGACCGTCGGCCATGTTGGATCCGGTTCAGCAAGTCCTTGTTGCAGGACTTCTGTGTAGTTCACAGCGTACATTCGACAACGATCGTGTACGTCATTAGTTTTCGGTATGGCTAAGTGCATTCTGAAAATTTAAATAAACACTAATTAATTACTGTTTGCATATGCAAAAGATTGTTGTATGTTGTATGTTTGGTTTGCAATTAACTTGTACAAATTGCCAAGGTTTTAATAATAAATTTCGTTGTTAATTGCTATAAATTATAACAATAAATAAACAGTTTAATGTTTTAAGGTTATATCATAGTTTTGATAGATGGCAGCTCTGTTTTCTGACATTTGACATATTTAACCTCAATACTTTGATTTGTACACACGAATTGAACACAAAAGAGATAATAACCGTGCATTAAAATTTGAATTATGTACGATTATCGTAGAAAATTGTAGACGCGTGCTGTAAAAATCACACGGCAACATTTAATAATTTTAATTGTAATCGCTGGCTGCAGTTGGCGCATAGCGGTAAGTGCACATTACACACTGGCGAGGCAGGTAAGTAATAGAAGTGAACTTGGTCGGTCGGTCGAGAAGTGTGTTAATGCTAATCGCAATCGTTTCGCATAAAACGCGGGCAGCCGGCCGATTTCTTCACGCAAAACCGTAATGAATGCAAAAATAATGCCCGGACTCTCAAGGTGATTAACAACAATCGGCGACGAACGCAGCAGAGAGTCAAGCAAATCACATACATTCGATAAATTGTGAAAAAATTAAAAATTAAAAAAAAATTAAACGCAAAATTTGTATAAAAATTTGTTGCAATATTGAAATATTTGACATTTTCCTTAAATTATTATGCAATATCAAAAAATATTTCCATAATTTGCATCTAGATATACTAAATTATCTGAAAGTATGAGGAAATGTACCAGCTATATTTCAAAACTATGTTAGTGATAACATTATTCCAAATTTTTGTCCCAACATAATAAAAAAAACACTTAAAAAATTTAATAATTATGTAAATTTTGTTGCAGTTATAATTAACACAATGTAACTGCGACTTATTTAGACTTTAATTTATTTTTTATTTTTTAATTTAATCAAAGAAGTATTTCCTTAAATAATTTCCGGGTTCATATACTACAATATTATTTACTACAAAATATAATTACTAATTTCACACTTTAATTCAACCACAAATAGAAAAAAATCACAATAATTTTAATATCAAATTACCTGAGTAATCAAAGTTCATAGTTGGTGGGTTTTTTCGCTAACAATAAACAAACAAATTCAATAATTGAAGTTGTTGACGTTCGCGTCTCAAATTACAAATTACCTGAACTGAAATTGCAAATTATTTTAACTAGCACTTTGAAAAAATCACAAAATCCACTTTGTTTAGTACAATAAACATGATAATACTGTGTATATGCATCTATGTGTGTGCAGATTAGTAACAAAGCATAAACAAAAGCAATTATCAATACGCGAGAATGAATCATCATTTTCTGAAATTTGATCGCGTTAATAATGATGATGTTGAGCGCACTGCTACCGAGCGGCCTTGGGATTCCCCTTATTACTAACGTTACTAAAGTAGTTAAAGACTAGACTCACAGTCAGAGTCAGAAGAATGTTAGGAAGTTTATTTCTCGTTCATTCATCTTTAGTTACCTATTAATTTTTTGTGTGCTTCTTGTGTTTACTTCTGGTTTATGTTTTTTATAACTTATAGTAAATTTATACAACTGATACAACTAATTTAATAAACATAAAATTAAAATAAAATTAAATGACGTAGGATTGCATTTGATCTCATCAAATTATGAATGAATGATTGAACAAAACGTAAACAAGTTATTTAACACCGTATTCCATCCGTATTTTCCTGCGTTATGTAATTACATTAGTTAATTACTCAGTTCTGACGCGTTGAGATTAAGTTGAACGTTGAACAATCAAAGATCAATTAATCAAGTCTGTAACTTGTCAAACAGTAATATTTTAATCGACGTTCGCATTATGTTGTGCACGTGGTGTAAAAATAGATTTATGTAAGAAATTGGCAATGAGAGCAATTATGCTGCATTCAACGAGTGTTATTCGCATTGTTTGGACATCTTGAGAGCGCTGAAAGTGGTGAACCGTGAGCTGGTTAAAAATGATGCCAGCAGTGCCAACACGTTTCGGGTTAGAGTGTCATTGCTATTTGTTCAACGATCAATTTGTTACACATTAAGATATTAACGTATTTTATATAATTTTCTGTTATTTTTTTAAATAAAAATTGTTTAGAATAAGTTTGAGTGGTATTTTTTTATTTGACGCGACGTTTGGCATTATGAATAGGTGTTAATTTAGGTTAGGAATGTCGCGTCATAGAAAAAAGAAGAAAAATAGCTTTAATTTGGTGTAAAACACAAAAATAAAAAAGTTGTTGATTAACTTGATTCCTAAAATATCATGCAATCTATAAATTATTGCATTGACGTAAAAGTAGTGATTACCCCAAATAAAAAAGCCGAAAAACAAATGAAAACAAAATGGCATGTAAACATTTTACCAATGATTCTTCTTTAAATGTTTAACGTGCCAACAAGAAAAAAAGTGTTTTTCTATTTCATGGAAAAGTTTTTCATGTATAAAATGAGAGCGTCGATTTGAGGTTACAAAAACATACATGAATAATAAACACATTAACTAAAACACTTTTTGTTTTACAATTTGTTATTATCATAATAACTTCAATAAAATAGCCTACAAAGTTTTCTCATGGAATTTCTTATAGAATTAAACGAATGTCAGCACATGCCTTCTGTTTATATTGTTAGTTGAATGCTCAACTCAATTATTTATCTTTCGCAGATTGAAATGCAATAAACAATTATTCGTGCACATTCACAAAGCGGACGCGTCGCGCGACCCACTTGCGGGCTGCGGCGGCGGCCGAAGTTCACACAATCAGAGCAGAACACCGTCTATAAACGCATTTAATGCGCCATTGCTGCAACACCAGCAATGTGATCGCCATATTGTTTCGCTCGCCTCAAGTTCGCATTGCTTCAACCCGCATAATTATACTCGTACGCTCAATCATATCGCGCGGCCCGCTCCGGGATTGCGGGCGTTGCGCAACGCAGAAAGGACTAAACGCTTATGATAAACAGATAAACACTTAGAGGCGGATAATGGATGGTAATTCTATGCATTCAATTTTAGTTAGATACATATTAATTTAACATAAATAATTATCGTGATATATACTGATTGCAATATATAAACAGAAATCTATCTGCGCATGCGCAAAACAACAACAAAAAAAATTTATTGAATAAAAAATCA